ACGTACAAACTATTAAATTTCTTAATACTCATTTTTTGGTTCTTTCTAAGGCAACGTCTAAAGGCATTCTCCAGACTTGGTAGAAGACATGGATGGCAAAATGCTGCGAAAAAAACATCAGTCATACTACTGCATTTTCTAGCGATAATTTTCAATATCTGCGGTGTCATTTTGCCAAAGTCCCAGGAGCTCAAGGCGCTTCTCCCCATGCCGTGAGACTCCTTCTTACCAGAAACCTGCCTACATCCCAACGGACGATGAGAACATCCTTGGACTGCAAGAATCCGTTTGTTACCAACCTGATCATCGCTAGAGACCGATCTTTCTGAGAGGTATCTACTTATACACTGCTTGTTTAGTTGTTTTGTATTTATTCCTTTATTACATCCAGGTTTTGGGAACTTAGTGTCTAACTAGGGTTAAATTTAGTAAATTTGACTGACTGACTGACTGACTGACGAAAGGAGGACATTTTCTTGCCAAGTTTCCGGTCCTCATGAGTTATGTGGTTTCGTCTTTACGAGTTCCTCACTGCTATCATCAACAGTACAAACAAAAGAAAAGTAAAAATAATTAATTTCTCTTTCTTACACATCATTGGAAGCAATTATTCTCCAGTATCGAGCAGTTAACGCAGCTGAAATTGCTTTATATATATGACTCGACCCGACGGAGACAGTACAAAATTAAGTTTACATGCTGTGCCATTCAGAAGAGGATCATTTCTGCAAATCAAAGGATATGTATAGTGAAAATATAACTTCGTAAGCAGATTCTCCATAAAGATTAAAAAAGACATCATTCGATCCGTCAGCGTCCATTGCCATTTTAACAGTTTATCACATGGTTCCTGAAAATTCTCATGGTATTCGCAATCAAATAAAAAATAAAAGTTACTCAGTGGAATTATCTACACTGAAAGGCATATACAATACCTGAAAAATAAATTTTCAACAATCTCAAAGCAATCCGCAGTCCATAGTTTCATGACTTTTGCCATCTAAAAACTTCGCCGTTGCCGGCCCCAAGCCCGGGTGAGAAAGGAGGGTTGAAGACCGTGGCAAGTGTCCGTAAAATTTATCTACCTGCCACTCGTGGTACTGACGCCATCGAAAATCATACCGGTTAGGTCGTCGCCCCCGCTACCAAGGGCCGCGCAGGCTGTTGGGAAACTGAGGCAAACTGCGATCAGAACCTGCTCCTCGCCCTCTGCCAGACGGGGAGGGGGCATAGCATCAAAACAACGACCCTGACGAAGACCGACGTAACGACGACGAAGACACCAGTCAGCAACGGAGTCGCTGCCCATTCTGAACGGAGGAGGCAGACAGCGCCATGTCATTACAACACGTCAGAAAAGGCTCCACCAGAACGATCCCAGCAGTGGGAGCTTAAAGTCCGAAATTGGAACATATCCTCAATCAGAGGAAAAGAACAAGAATTGGTTGATGAGACCATGAAGTACCAACTCGACATTAATGAATTCTGGTGAACGAAACGCCAAGGCTCGGGAATCCTGAAATTCAGTGGGTAAAAGCTATTCTACTCAGGTGTCGATATCATGGCGATCAGGCTGGTGTTGGTGTTCTGGTAGAACCCAATCTCGTAGACAGAATCATTCATTGGAAGCCTGTCAGACGAACACCGGCAATCCTTCGACCGAAGGTGTGTGATGGATGTCTACGTAAAGAGAAACGCATAGCTCTCAACCGATCACTATCTTCTTGTTGGCACGCTACGCTGTGAGAAAGGAGTACCATACGAAGTTCAGGTGACAGAAGCAACCAGAGAATCAAATGGGAAACATTTTCTTCGGTGGACAGGAGAGAACAATTTGCAAACAACATCGCGCGACGGTTTGAATAGATCCCAGTGATGACCACTGACATGGAATCCGAGTGGGAACTCTTTAAATGCGGCTTACTCGAGGCTGCCGTCGAATTCAACCATTCAACGCGGTTTGGCTTGCCTCAAAGTTTGAAGCACACGGCATTTAACTCAAACGCAGTACGAAGAACAGCGCAAAGTAGTATCGAAAGAAGGAGCCGAAGCGAAAGCTGACATCTGGTGGGAAAAGTTCCGCGAGTTGGTGGAGCCGAATTACCAGATGACAAAAAAGGTATTCTGGAAGGCCATCCATTGCCTTCGAAATGAAAAGAAAGCAGTTTAAGATTCCTCAATAAAAGTTCGAATGAAGAAGATATGCAGAGGGAGTTGTTTGTAGAGCTTTATAACCCTGACCAAAAGTAGGAAGAATCGCCTGAAGATCAACAAACAACTAATATTAGTGGCAAAAGCGCTGGGATCGATGAAATCCGTGGTGATATTCTTAAAACTTTAGGCGAACAACACGTATGGTTACAACATATTTCTCAAACTTCAATGGTAACGTGGAAAGCACCAGTGGTCTGACGAACGGACGTTGCAGCAATCCTGTTCAAGAAGGTAGGCCAAGGAACAGAGGAAATGCTCTGGAGAAGAGTCTACGCCAAACCGCTACAAAACAGGTGTCACGGAATCGTTAACTGTAAGATGGACAAGTCCAGCCAAAACACTTATGAAGAGATCTTCCCGCTCGACCATATTGCTGATATACCATGGTAGTACGCCATC